TTGTTTGCATCCCTAAAATTCACATAAATCATGATATTAAAAAAGCACAAACAGAGATGATTGGGGTAAAATAACAGAGAGGTATTATCTAATAAATATCGAAAAAGAATACATTTACACATAATGGTGCTGAAATTAGTTTTAAGCCTTTACTGACATCTTTCTCCTTCCCAGTGCAGCTCAAGTCTGTGCTGCGAGCAGGCCTTGCCTCTCACCAGTGGGTGGTGCTGATCTCATACCAATAACAGCAACATCCTCCAACGCTGCCTCCTTAGGCTTGCTTTTTTTTTTTTTTTTTTAAATACATATATGTTTCATTTGGAAAATGTATTTGCAGCATCTCCCTAGCGTTGTTACCACCAGAGTAGGAAACAGCTACTTTTATAGAGCTTGTCTGGATTAGATGTGAGGTTGCAAATATGGTGTAAACAAATTAGTGGAAGGTCTGTAAGGTAATGGTAAAAAATCAGATGGCTACTAAGAAGCACTCTCTTTCAACTGGTATTAGAGGAAAACTAGATTTCACTTCAAATAGACATGTCTGTTACTATTAAAATCTAATTCATATACATGCATGTATAAATACATCCATCCATGCATTCAAACCCACGTATGTAGCACTGCCATTGGTAGCCTGCAAGACTGCTTAGGTTTATACCAAGTCAAATAAATTTGTGTTATCACCTTAGGGCTGGGACCTAAACCAGGTTTTACACTCTGGTTTTCTCCTGACAAATTTTGCAGCGCATGACGGTTTTACGTCTAACTCCAGATGCCGCATTTCCTAGAAAGCAACAGTTTTCTGCACTTGTGAGGTCTATGAGAAGATCAGCTCTCTGTTTTGTGCATAACATGTTGCAAGAGTCAATTGTCCCAATTGGCACTTAAGACTGAGAGTTGTGGGAATTGCTACTAAAGTGTAATGACTGTTCCATCCTCTTCAATACCTCCTCTGGGGATAACCAGACTGTGTCGGGGATCAGTTTTTAAGGAACTGAGTAATTTGTGGATGTTGCCATTGCTTTCTCGGCCAGAGTTGTTGTTGAGCACCAGGTCCCTTTGAAGTCTGTGGCTAAGGCTGCTGCCATTGATTCGAGAGAGGCTACTGGAAGTAAGGCTGTGTAGTTTGGGAATGTGCTGTGGCTCCAGACCACCCTCAATGACAATGTCAGCCTCTTCATCACTCTCCATTTCATCAGGGTGGAAGTTCTGCAGCACATGGGATGTAGGCAAGCTGTGGTGACTTGCAGTGCTGTCTGTAGACTGGCCAGAGCTACCAGACATCCTACTGCTTCGAATAATATTGTTCCTCTGGTTTGCTGGCTTGACCGTGATAATAAGATTATGGCTGTTGGCAATCATCATGTCTGTGACTTGGTCAAGAGTCTTTCCTGCTACTTCAATGCCATTAACTTCCAGGACTTCATCATTCACAGCCAGCAAGCCTGTGCTCTCTGCTAAGCCTCCAGGAACCATACGAGAGATGAAGATACCCGGTACCTTTTCTAGTCCATGAGAAGTAACCCTTACGCTGGTGCCATCGCGAATGTAAAATCCTAAGGGTTTCTCACACCCGTGCCGATACAGTCTCACTCTCCTGTGTGTTTCAGGAAGAATGTCCACATCGATTATGGAAGACACTGGTCTAAAATCATGAGGCATGCTAATGTTAATGTGAGGACGTCGGCGGAGGTTGTCGTTGCGGAGTGTCACCAGAGCCTTCTTCTTCCTTGATAGGGTGTTGGTCCCAAAATTACTGTAGTCTACTTCATCTGAAAAAGAAACAGTACCAATGTATCAATCAAGCAGAGAATATTTCATTCTGCAGGGCATTTTCCTTTTAGATCTGGTTCAGTGAAGCCACACTCCTAATAATATGGAAAAAATAAAATTAATTCTTCCACTAACTCTAACCTTTGTTTCACTTTAGGTCCATCAGCACATCATTCAAAATGAATGAGTTGTTTTCAATGACTACCCATATTTCTTCTGTATTTTGATAGAAAAAGACTTCTGTTCTCCTGTTGTCAGCTGTGCAGAATACAATCACTTACAGCTGCAGGTCTGATATACCATCTTGAATGTGAGACCGTATTTTCAGAATTGGATTGTAATATTACACATACATCTCAAGTGGGCAAGGAGTGTATACACATTCCTAACCTAAAAATCTGAATTGGGGAGTATTTTAATATCCAATACACAGCCTTAGCTGATAGCAGACCTTAGGTGCAAACACAAAAACAGGGTGTGGTGAGAGAGTAGCTGGAGATGTGCTTTTATCCTTGCCTTTCTTAGTAATGGATTTATATTAATATTTATCTCTCAGTACAGCACTTTTCTTTTTAGAATATTTTACCTCATTTCAGCTGAATGTGACAGCAATAAAATGCACTAGAAGTCCCAAGTGCCAACAAAGGTCTGTGTAAGCAAACAGACTGGTATAAAGAGAACGGAGAAAAAATGCTCTGTGGCCTAGCCCACATGTTAAGGTTCACAGAATAGACACAGACTCACACACACATTCCTGCTTTTGAGGGGAAGATCCACAGGAAAGCAGCCCTTATAGGGTCTACTGTTTAAGGAATTGTTTAAGTATTTCAGTCTCTACTGGTATATCAAGGGCATGTGCAAAGCAATCAACTTTAAATCACCCAAGTAATTTGACAGGTTATTCTATATAAGAAGTTCACGTGCTTTGCATAAAAAACACTTAGTCATGAAGTTGTTAGTGTACAAAATACGTCACTGCATTTCACATTAAATGTACTGTGCATGTTTTAAACATGAAGCATACACCTTTCAGATTAACTAAGAGACTTCCAGTTTATTCTACTGTTTAAGATCAGCAGTACAATACAGAAGTACATTACAGAACTGCCAGAAAATTTACCTTGCATAGTAATGTTTGAGAAAGAAAGACAATACCCCTACCTGATAAAAGTTAAAAAAATAAAAAAAAATCAGTAAAAACACCTTAGAATTACATTTGTATTTCTTGCAAGGTCTCATTTTCAAGTCGGTTTTCAAGGCATATTATTGACAGACTTCAGTTAAGTGACATGAAGTCACATACAACTCAAAGGACACTAAAAAATAGAACTAAGCAGCAACCTGATCTAACTGAGCTTGCCTGGAGCAGGGGTGTTGCAATTAGTTCGCCTCCAGAGGTCACTTCAAGCCTAAATTATTCTGTGATCCTACATAGTCCTTTGGGCTGGAAAAAGAAAAACAGTTTAAGACTTAGGAACGTCTACTTCTGTATTCTCCCATAACATATTTAAATTGACTATACTAACACTGAGGACATTGCAAGGCATCTAGAAGGTCACCCTGAAAGAAATGCTTCTGTGAAAAACAGATACTCCTTGGATAAGTTTGTCATGTTTAAGTTCACACCTGCCTCTTCTCTCTTCTCCCAGGCCAGTCAGGGCTGTACCAACTGCACAGGCCCTACGGCATTATATAGACTAGTGAGGCAAAGGACTGAAGTCCTTAAGGTCACCCAAACACAAGAGGATCCCAACTGGTTCCTGGAAGTGTATTCACAGCCAAGACAGTGACTGTGCAGAGACAGCACTTTCTGAAGTCCACCTGGTGAGCAGTCAGAGCAGTGCCTACTCTTTGAATGCACAAGTCACCTGTGGCAGCCAAAGCCAGGTATTCCATCTCTTTCATCAACAGAATAATAATCTGCATTCATCCAGACTTTTAAGATTTGATGGATGAATCTGAAGGTTGGCAATAAGTATTTTTTTTCTTTGCGAAGTATGGGTCCACAAGAGATGTCTTTCGTCACTGAAGTCTCAAGCACAGCACCCTCCTCACCCTCACAATTCACTGATAAATTTCCATAACACTCCTATGAAAACAACTTGGGGATGCAGGCTTAGAATAAAAATTCTTCCTCACTCAAAACATAGCACTGTAGAATAGTAGCACTGTACCTTGAAGCCCAAGACAACCTCTATCCCAAAATTTCAGTTTAACATGGCAATCAAAATTACATGTGGGTTCATGGGTTTAAGACTGTCTCTTCCAGTACTGGGCAACAAAACTCAAAACAAAAGCCACATGCCTTAAAGACCCAGAAAATTAGGTTGGCAAGTAGAGTTTATTGCACTGCAGGTAAAATGAAACACATGCCCTACTCTTCCTTCTATTCCCTGAAAGCATCCAAGTAACACATCTCTTCCTCTCTATCTTAGTATACTAATACTTTAAGGCAGACTTCCAAAAACTTTACCAAATAATTCACCTAGGAAGATTCACTAATGAAACTGTTTTCTTCCCCTTAAATTAACAACCCAGAGAGTAAATTCTCACAGCATGCAAATTTGTGTTGATCCAAGTAGTAACATCACAGGAGAAGTAAAATGGTCCTCCTAGCACACATAGGTCACTTCTGAAGCAGCTTTCTCTGGGTGAACCAGCACCAGGGTAATGGCACAAAGTAAGTGGCTGTTTTGTGCCTGTGACCTCCTCACCTGCGCTTAGCCCATTAATCTGTCTCCCCAGATGGATCACCAGCATTCCTAACTTCTGAGCAGCTTCAAAACAACCACCTCTTTTAATAACAAAAAGCCAAGCTTACCACAAAAACGCTATTTTTTTTTCTTCAAACATGAATCAGGCAGACGCAGGGATTACACTACCTGTTCTATATCAGACCACTGACTATTGGATTTAGTATTTCAGGGCTGCTGCATGTTAAAAAAGGAAGCCCATGTCTTTTTAATGACTGAAATTTGTTTTTAAAACAGTGCCAAGCCTTAGTTTCCAACTCTGACCATAAACAGGATTACATATGAGAAAGATGAAGTCTCAATTTTAACAGGTGAAACTTAAAACCATTATAGGCTAAAGAACTAAGAGCTAACTTGGAGAGCTTTTAAGAATAAATACCAATGAACTATTTTCGAGAAAAAGTTCAAGTATAGAATATACACTCCTCGATAATACTGGAATTACTACATTGTTTGTATTCAAGATGACCTGGTCACTAGCAGTTAACACTTGTTTGGGACACCACCTTAAAATTATGAAAAAAAGTAAAAAAGTAAAATTACAAAAAAAAAAACCACCAAAAAAACAACAAAAAACAAAACACCAAAAACAACCCAACAAAAAAACAGAACAAAACTGCTGCCCCCTGATGTTATTTAGAGCTACTACTCTTGTGGCATGAATAAAGCAGAGTATCTCGACTGAAGTTTTAACATCAGCTGTTGCTATGGCAGCAGAAAGTCATCAATCTTTAGCACAAGGAAAAAAAAAGTCCTTCCTCATGAGGGAACTGGGAGAAGGAATCCAACATCATTCACGTTTATCCATTATAGGGTGGGCACACAGTGGTGTATTACCTATTTCCAGTAATAAACTGCCCAGGTGGCATGTGTCAGACTGAAATGAAAACTGTATCATTGCATAATTTACAATTACACACTTTTAATGAAGGTCAGCAGCAACTTTTTAGGTTTCAAGTTTCCCACCATATAAAATTTCAGGCTGCAATGCCACTTCAGCTAATTAAATGGAGTGTGCTGGATGCCAGGTCTCAGCGAAGACCAGTATATGCCATATGGAACCAGACAAAGCTCATTTTTCATGTTTCATTTATTGCAATATCATATTCTCCTATTGCAGAGCAAAAGGTCAACAGCAACCTGCATGCATACTGGCAGAAGTGCCATCAACTGTCCCATCTGAACTTCAAGGGGTTTAAAGTCTTGTATTTTACAGAGTGTCATGTTTTCCGATGTCTTGAATGAGTGAAATATTACATGCAGGTGACAGAGGGCGAATTAGTCCTTTAGATGCCTAATATAAGCCCCATTTTTTAGAATGGGGCAGACTACAAGGAGCATTTTCATGTATAAAAAAGATGTATTTATTTCAGATATAGATAAGGTGGATGGATATTCCTGGATAACCACTAATAGGACTTAGACCCACATTTTACTTGTGCCCATAATTTGCTTCCTACTGAAAATACTGTTCCTCTAAAGAGAGATGAAGAAGAACATTTACCAAAGTTGGTGAAGGATTCCTTGGCTTTCCAGTTCTCTCCTACTTGAAAACACAACCCAAAGCTACACAAAAAAAATACCTCATCTCTTCTGTAGGTACTGAATAATTACTGCAACACTTTTCCCCAAAAGCTTCAGGTTTTTGGTACATTTAAAGAAACACTCAGGTATCTGGCAGTGAGTAATATAACATGTTAATTAATTTTGTTGCAGCCTTTCAGTTAATATGTGCTTTTTTCCTATTTTCTTTTTTTGTTTGGTTTTTTTGTTTGTTTGTTTTTTTTAAGAGTTGTCACTACCTACTTACCCATAAGGACCTTTCTGTTACAGAAGATAAATGCTACAAATCTTTTCATGCAGATATATATATATATATCTGTGCTCACTGTCTTGACAACAGTGGTGTCTTTTTTTTTTTTTTTTTTTAAACTGGTAGAACTACCTTCACCCACCTACCTGTATGTGTAGCAGAGTGTGCATATGTGTGCAGGTCTGCAGGTGTCAGAACGAACTGAGAATTATAGGTATGTTGTGCCAGCTAAAGTGCATGGGCTTTGCATTAAAAAAACCATCAGAGTGCACCAGGTGTCAAGCGGTGCTGGGCAGCCATTTGTTCACTCTATTGATAGCACTGTCATTCCACCTGCCTTTCATTATTAGATGTAACTATTTATCAGGGGATGCTTAAGCCTCTGAACATGAGAACTAAGGATTTCTTAGGTTTCTGACTGTGTATCTCTTCA